TCACCACCCTGTCATTCACCTGATGCCCAGGTTGGCCCTGAACTTCTGGGCTCAAGCAATTCTCCTGTCTCAGCCTCCCAAATAGCTGGGTCTAGGGGTATATGCTACCACAGTCAGCTTCCTCTATTGACTCAAAGCAACTGACCTGAACTATGGGCTTAGAAGGACTGTAGAGAATGAAGAACCCAGACAGCAATTGAGGTAAACTTAAAGCGCATGCTCTGTGGATAGTGGCGTGTTTTAAGGCAGCACATTTAACAGAGTATGGGAGACACTAGAGGATCGTTGCAGGAGGGCTAGTGGGACTTGGGCCTGAGTCACCCCTTTGGGAGACACAGCATCCCCTGGGGAGGCCCCAGTGGCTTTGTCCTGATGCCTGGGTTCTATAGACTGCATATTTCTGAACTGAGGTGCAAATTAGGTCCCTTTCACAGCCCCCAGTACTTTCTTATGTGATGTGCTGACCCAGCTGTTTGGTGGCCCCTCCCGTTTTCTCTGGGTTGAATGGAGCAGCTGTATGGAAGGTGAGGGGCGCTAGGCCCTACTGTGGACAGAGGAGGAGACCTGGCTTCAACCTCTCTGAACGGGTGCCTCCTCTCCTGCTTCCCCGGATTCCTCCCTGTCTCACTGAAGCCAGGGCTTTGCCAGGTGAAGCCCCGAGGCCTGGAGTGCAGGATCTCCTGGGAAGTGTCCCCCTCATCAGGGGCATCCCCAGGACTGCATTGCGCATTACAGAACCTGGCCTCGGGTTAAGCAAGTGAAGGTGACCCCTTAAGGGCAAGATCTGCAGACCAGTGTTAGAAGCAGGAAGGCCAGGGCCACGCCCCCAGCTTGGGGTCAGCCTTTGCTGCCTGTGGTCACTACTCCCTGGGCCCTTTCTTGTTCCTCTCTCCAAACTTGAGTGCCAGCTGTTTCTGTGCCGTGCATTGGGTGAACCCTACTGATACATTGTAAGCACCTGTAATTTTGGGAGTCTTCATTAAGGGGATCTCGGGCCACAGATGAACAGAGGGAAAGACCATTTGGGGAGAATTAGATCTTTCCTGGATGTCCTTCTGCAGATGACCAGAGTCAGTTCAGTTCTGGTGGTAACAGTAGAGGCTCCCAGGTGCCCAGAGAGTGTGGTCTTAGGTCTCAGTGTGAGCTCACAGCCCGAGAACCCTGAGACGGGTTCTCCCCAGGGAAGCCTTTGGGGCAGGGCAGGATCCTGGGCTTCTGACTTGTGCGTGTCTTGGGGCGATGGTTTTCCCTCAAGCTCTGTCCAAGGGAACTTGATGGGGTTCCTTGTTTGCACCTTCCAGATGCTGGGTTTGTCTTAGGGGGCTCTGGGCACAGTGCTTCCTGACGCACGGCCCTGTGGGAACCTTCAGCCAGCTCCTTGCAGAGAGCAGTGGACCTCCTTATAATTCAGCCTTTTTGTTGGGGGCGAGGGGCATCAGCAGGGCCACTTCCTGTCCCTGGCAAGAGGCAGCCTTGCTCTTGGGTGCCAGGTCCCATGCAAAAGGCAAAGCAGTCAGTGGGTGATGCCTCAGAGCCCCAGCACTCCTCCTCGGTCCATCCATGAGCACAGGGCTCCGACAGAAACCAAAGCAGTCTAGGGCTTTCCCTCCCCTCACGCAGGATCGAGAGGGGCAACTTGGCTTCCTCCGCTTTCCCAGCCAGGGGTGCTACTGCCTGCCGGCTTCCACTCATAGGCCCAAGAGGGACTGTCCCTGTGCCCCGTGGAAGAGCAGGTCAAGGCCTGCAGTATGTCCATCAAGAGAGCCCTGGTTGCTACAGGGATGGAAGAAAAGGGGTGTGCATGAATTAAGGATCACAGTGAGGGGTCTCCAAGAAGCAGGCTACTCCCTGCCTCTGAGGTGACAAGGCCACCTCGAGAGGGGGTACAGAACCTGCTCCATGCAACCTTTGCTAGGATACCAGGGTCAGAGCATGAGGCTGGACCCAGGCTGCCGAGAGAGGGTGTTTATCACAGTACTCTGCCCGGCTGGGGAAGTAGATGTCGAGGAAAGGAGACAGCACCCCAGCAGGCCTGCTGGGCAGGGGGACCGTGCTTGCCCCACACCACAGAAACCCCAGCTTGCACCAAACCCTACAGCACAGCCCACTGGGGTCAGGATGGGCAGCTCCCCGGCTGGGAGCTTAGGATGTCCGGCAGCATGGGCACCGGGCTGCTTTGGTTTGGTTGGTTTGGTTTGCATTGGAGGGAAGCTGATCATTTTTGCTGTGCTGGGGATGCTACCCAGGGCCTCCTGCGACCCATGCACGGCTCTACCCCTGAGCTGCTCTCCCGGCCTCTAGCATGATGTACTCTCAAGGACGTGCCTTCTCCTCCAGCCCCACAGGACAGGCTGACCGGGGTCAATTCATATCAGCTACATGGGGCTGTGCAGTGTGAGGAGTGGGTTAATAAAGTTAGCCGAGTGGGGACAGACTGTGCACTGCGGAGCCCTTGCTGTGGGCTAGCACGTAACCCACAGCCCCATCTCCTGGCAGCCAAAAGACCTGGACGTGTCCTTTACCATCTATCAAATCCGCTTAGAGATAGTGCAGGATTAGCAGTTGAAACTCTACAGCAGAACCTTGGGAACATTTCTGAAGCTCTGGCAGGGTCCACATAAAGATTTTTCTTTCTTGCAGGAGCAGATAAGATTATGACTGATGTGGTTAGCCTTTTCATACTTCTGAGCTGCCACATTTCCCATAAAATAGGTACATTGGGGAAATGAGAAACGCTGGTTCATTACTTGCTTTAAACCCCTTTAGTTTAGAATCTCAGTTTGCGGGATTTTTCAGCCTGCGTCTCCCTAACTGTGTTAGGGAGACTTTGCTACACGTCTCCCACGCAAGGCCAAGTGCTCTGCGGTTGGATCAAATGGAAGGCCCACAGTTTTCTGGCCTCGAAAGATGAATGAAAGGGACCCGCAGCCAGATATCTTGGCTGGGATGATCATGGTTCTTCAGCAGTGCAGAGTCAGCCTCAAGGATGGAAGCCCTCAGGTTGACCCTCTGGATACTGGAGATCCACCTTGGGGTGAAGGAAGACCCAGAAACTAAGGCCATCTGGGCCTTCAGTGGGAAGTAGAGCCTCCAATGAAATGGACACATTTTAGGGAACTGCGTCCTTGTGGTAGAGACTCCCCACAGGGCCCCTGTCCCTGTTCTACGCACTGCAAACCCAAAAACCCACTTTACCCTCCCACCGCCCAGCACAGACCCTGTCACCACCTCCCCAAATGGGGAAACAAAGGCCCGAGGAAGTTCGGTGGCCTCCCAGGGCCCCACAACTAACGAGTGGCAATTTAATATCCCACCCCAGGGGGCCTTGTGCACCCTGCACTTACAAGTGTTGTGTGATTTACCAGGTGATGGAGGTGGGGACTCCCGTTCGGTTGGTCTTGCCACTGTAAAAATTACTTTATCGTGTAAGGGCCTCACCGGGCCAGGACCGTGAGCTCCGCTTCGAGCTGCTCTGTTTTTTTGTGTCTTCCAGTGATTTCCCTCAAAGCTTCGGAAGATTCATCTTTCGGGAAAAAAAGAGACACCTGGGCATTTTTTGAAGGTAAGTTTGACCTGTTTGTTCTAAGACGCAGCCTCAGATTTACACAACAGGAAAAGAATAGAACCCTAACCTCCTGGTTTTTCCATCACATCAAATTGTGGGGTTTTTGGTTGGAATTTAGGAGTCAGGTGGGAGTGGCTGGGGTCCCCGCTGCAGGCTGGGAAAGAGTACAAGGTACGGTGACAATCTGCATAGCTTATTTTGTGTTCTGGTTGTGTTTGCTTCAGAATTCTTTACTCTAGGTGAGAGCAGAGAGACTCAGTGTTAGTGAAAAAGTGAAAATTGTGTCACTGTGATTTCATCTTGTTGCTTGTGGAATTTGGGGTTTGAGGAAGTGCGAAAATCTTTAAGCAGATTATTTTCCCACCCACGTCCGAGTCACCAGGACACTCTCAACACGGACACCTGGACCCTGTCTGGAAGGATTCGCATTTGGTTGGAACTCATTGAAAACGCCTCTGGTGATTCCAGCCTACAGCCAGGCTGAGGTCCAAGGCCTGGGCTGTGGCTCTCGGCGTGGTCCCCTCCAGCAGTGTCGGTGTTACCTGGCCCCTTGTTCCCAAAGTCCTCTCTCTGCAGGCTCTGCCTTGGTTGAAGCTCAGGCTTGGGGTTCTACTCCCTGAGTTTGAGACCTGCTGGGAATTCTAATGCATATTCAGATTTGAGGCTTAAAGCAGGATTCTCAGTGTGGGAGACTGTGCTCCATGGAACATTTTCTAAGTTCGGGAGATATTTACAGCTAGTGCCACTGTAGAGGTGCCCCTGGCACCTAGATGGTAGTGGCCAGGAGCAAAGGTCAGCATCTCACAGTACATCTCACAGTCCTACCTCAAAGAACCCTGGCCCCAAAGGCCATGAGTGCTGAGGATGCCGGGCTGGGCTTCAGGAAAGAGAAATTATCATCCCTGTCTGTGTGCGCCCTGAGGACCATGATCTGAACCATGTGCGTTCTCAGGCAGGGCGTCTGATCCAGGAAAGACCATTAGTGTTAAAGGGCACCTGAAACTTCTTGAAGACATGGGATTTACTGATGAGGAATGGCCCAGCCAGATCGGGTTGGAAAGGGCAACACCTTTGCGGGGGAGTGGAGGCCTTTGGGTTCAAAATCACCCACAAAGTGGTGCAGCAGGGCAGCTTCTCGCTTAGGAAAACATACCTTAGTTTTTAATTTTTATCAGTCTGTGCTTGTAGTATATCATGGTTACATTTATCCAGGGCGTTGGCTCACCTCCATAACATATTAATTCTCTCTACAGGCCCCTCCCCGCCTCTCCCTCCATCTCTTGATCCCTTCCTATCTGCAAAAGATTTATCTCTCCATTTCCTGTTATCTGTTTTTAAAAAGTGATGGTTATTTATGCCTTGGACGTCTCATCTTGGAGCAGCCATGTGCTGTTCAAGCTTGTGTTTCTGATTTATTTCACTTCACATTATGGTCTCAAGGTGCAGCCACACAGGAAAAATCACTTTAATTTTGGACACATTTGCAAAGCAGAGGAGTCAAGCTCTGTGCTGGGATTTGGTGTGTGGTTTTGGTGTGTTGGATTTGGTTTAGAGTCAGGAGTATCTTTTTTCTGAGACTGTGCTAAGGCAGAAACAATGACTCTTTGTATTCTCTGATTTTTCTTCTACATCCTTTCTAGCTGCCTTTTAAAAAAATCTGATGACTTCTCTTAGCGAAATAATCCCCAGGCTCTCACTTGGGGACTGCTTACCCCTGGACAGGGATGAACGTGCTTTTATTCCTGTTGTGGAATAATAGGAATAGCAAACAGGAAAAGCACAACACACAACAGGAAGGCAAAGTTTACTCTTCTTTTTCTGTTTAGTCAAATTGAGGCAACCCAGCTGTCCTGTGCCCTGGCTCCATGGTGCGGTGGGTTACTAAGGGGGTCCTGGAGCATCTGATGCCTTGGGAGGGGCTGAGACTCATCAGACGTTAAGGATTCCTGAGGAGACTCAGGACTTCACTCCAGGGTTCTGATTATTACATCAGGAAAGCATGGGAGAATTTGCACTACCTCGGGGTCACAGGTCATACGATGCAAGTGGTCTGATGACACAGCTGAACCCCAAATGATTGCAGAGCCACATCACCAGAAGGTCTGAGCGCTATGCCCCCTCAGCAGTGTTTTGTAGTTGCCCATCTCCTCTTGACGGAAGATGTCACGTGGCATGTATGTCCTTTCCACGGTGATACCCAGAGCCAGGCTCCGGGCAGCCGGCATCCTAGCTGCCTCCTGCATGCCTGGATCAGCTGTTTCCCAGCTGGCCTTTCCCCTGACTCCAGCAGCAGCAGCATGATCTATATTTTGCCTTTTAACCTGCCGTGTGTTTGCCAAGGTCAGGCGTGGTGACAAAAGTGCCCGGTGCAGCTCTCAGGCCTTCTGTCCTTTTGTGCCTGAACGAAGAGGCATTGGCGTGGGCTGCGGATGGAGGTGCATCCTCCTGGGGTTTAGCTTGGCCTGGCTGTGCGCCTGCTGAACGAAACAGGCATCGATTGTCCGGCCCCTTGCCGGAGCAAGTTAAAATCCCTCAGGGCTTTCGCTCAGGTATTATGCACTGAGCAAGATGGTTTTATGGGCTGCATAAAACAGAAAAAACAGAAGCCCACGTGCTTTTGCCAGTACTGCATCTCCAAGGTGCCTGGATTTGCCCTGGAAATGTAGAACAGAACCCATGATTGGGAGTGCAGGGGGGTCAGCAGGGCTCCTAGACAGTGCTGAGGAATTCTACGGCTACTGCATTCCAAAACAGCCCCAGCTGGATGCTCCACTGGGTTGCCAAGCAACAGGTGCCAGGATGGAAACGGGCAGGCTGAGAGTGTCACCTTGCTGGTCTCCCTGCAGTGGGTACAGCCACCCCAGCGTGCCAGCCCATCTGCTTCAGGGAGGCCTGGGCCTTTTGGGCAATCGAGTCTGAGAATGCTTTGGGTGCCTTTGGAAGTCCAATGGCACAAAATAAAATGACAGGCAAATTCAGAGACGCTAACATCATTTTTAGAATCCTGTAGTATGCAGGGGTACAAAGTATTTTGCTTAGTTTTAATGTAGTGCCTCTAGGGCTTGAATTCAGGGCCTCAGCACATTAGGCAAGCACTCCCTACACCCCCGCCCGACGTGGTGTTTTACAAGCTAATTTCAGATTTGGCTAAATGCAGAGGTTGTGTTCAGTTTGGGCCTAGAGGTTCAGTTTCAGCTTTTGGACAAGTGTTGTTTGGCCAGTGCTGAGTTTGGACTCTTCTGAGCCAACATTTGTAGAGAGATTGCTCTCATGCACAGTAAAAGGACAGATTAGAAGCTAGGGCAATGCCAGGCGCCTCTCCAGCCTGACTGAGAACAGAGGGAGGTGCAGACTGAGGCTCAGGGTAGCCTAGCCGCCCTGGCCAAAGGGGACGTCACTCTGCAACCCTGGCTTCCATGGCTTGGGGTCCAGCTTTTGTTTGTGGAACACAGCAGGAAGGGAGGAGGAGTCAGAGGTTTGAGCAGCCTCAGCAAACATGGTTTCATGCTCCAGAAAGAATGCTGGAAGTGAGGAAAAACCCTAGCATTAGGGGATGGGGGTGCTGCGAATCCAGAGCAGTGAAGTGTGTTCTTTCTGAGTTTTTTCCCTCCGGTAGAATGAGACCTTTAAAAGCACCTTTAAAAGAACAGAGCAGAGAGCAGGCAGGGTCAGCACTGGTCCCATGCAGGCAGAGAGCCAGTGGGCAGTGCTTGCTGGCCGGTGGCCACAGCTACGAGAGCTCACGTGCTTGGCGCAGAGGCTGAGCGTTCCGAACTGGCCAGATGTTTGTAGGTTCTGTAGCTACAGCTGCCCAGGGAGAGCAGGCTTCTTCTGCACCATGGCGTGTAGGCTGTGACCTGAAGCCGTACTTGGGCCTCCAAGCCTCTGCCTCCCACCAGGGCAGGGCCACCCCTTCTGTGCGTGGCTGCTGAGGCCTGTGGGAGAATTGCCAGCTGCTGTGGTGCTGCAGCCGGGGCTCTCTGTGCCTCCCGCAGCCTGAAACCAAGGAAAGATGAAAGCGAGGTGGCAGGTCAGGTAGCTCTCTCCCTGATAGGGAAGTTCCAGTTTTCTCTCCATTTCCAGAAGGAAATGCAAGCTACATTACCTGCCTGTTCGTCCAGGCACCCACATTGCTAGCATCTGTTCCGGGTAGCTGTGATGCCTCCCTGTTCCCATTTTGCCTGATCTGGAAATACAAATTATTTACCATGTTTTACAAGCCACAAATGGTCCTGGAATTGTGTTCATTTTCCAAACAGCATAAAGATCCGAGATTGGTCACCAGATTGCCACGGTCCGGTCATCCCATGCTCTGGTGACCAGTCACGGCTGACAGTGACCCTGCTCTGTCCCTCAGTCGGAGCCTGGCTGGTGTGGTGCATGCTGCTGAAAAGGAGATGGAGGACGCTGTCCTGACTGACCGCTCCTCCGGACACCTGTCTGTTGTTCTTGTCCGGAAACACAGTAGCATTCGCACAGAGCACTTTTGATTGGAGCGTGAGGATAGTTTGCTGTTTGCATTCCCAGGGCCTCACAGTCAGTGACCTCCAGCTTTTCCAACCTGGGTTCCTTCCCCTGTCCCTCTGGTCTGGCTTTCTCACAGGGCTTTTCCAGCAGCTTCCCTGTGGGAAACTCTGCACTGGAGGCTTCACTCTGGGTTTCTAGAATGCTCCCCAGCACTGTGCCTCACCCGGGCTCCTTTGTGGGAGGCACTTTATTTAGCCCCTCTCCTGGCCCCCCACACATGAGTGCAGGTGTGCCTGGCCCGCAGTGGTCCAGTGTCAGCAAGATTCATGTCCCCGCCTCCTGCCAAAATCCCCAGATGCTCAGATCTTTTTTTTAATACATAAAATGGCATCTTGGTTGCCTGTAACCATTGCACACTTCCCATGTGCTTTAAGTCATCTCCCCAAGGCTTAGAACATCTACCGCAGTATGAATGCCATGCAGCCAGTTCCAACACTAAACTGTGTGGTGGGAAATGACAAGAAAAAGGTCTCCCCACATTTGGCACAGAGGCAGTTTTTTAAGAATATTTTTGCTCCACCCTCATCTGAAGCCATGAATTCAGAAAGAGGTCTGAATTTTATTTTTAGCTCAGACCTCTGAGTGGTCAGGAAGAGAAGCCTGCGGCCATTAGCTCAGGTAAAAATGCCTGTCGGGCAGCTCCAACAGGACAAGCGAACCCCTCAAACTCCAGGGGTAGAGGCTGCACCTGCCCCCTGGGCGCCAGCTAAGACAGAGATGGAGAAAACCTGATTTTCTGGCTCCCTGCCCCATTCCCTTCCTTGCCATGGACCTCAGCCTGCCTCCTCCGGAACCCAGCCACTGGCCAGCCCCACTGCCCGCTGCCCCCAGTTCCCAGTACCTGGCTTCCTCAGGGGCAGCCCTTAGCTGTCTGCTCCTCTTGGTCCCAGGGGCTTTGCAAGGCATGCTCTTGCTGACTCAGCACTTGGACTCCCAGGAACCTCATCTAAGAGCTCCCAGCGAGAGCCCCATTAAGGTTCAGGTTATGGATGCTCGGCCCCGAGCTCTTCGAGCTCTTCGTTATGGGAAGAACAGCTAGAGACACCAAGCAAACAACAGCAAGAGTCACGGTCATTTTCCTGGGCCAGAAGCTACCCAAAGCGGCTGCGCCATTCCACACTCCCACCAGCCACGGGTGGGCCGCCCAGCCCACCTACCTCCCCGCGGGCATCTGGTGTGAGCACTGTTTTTAATTTTAGTCAGTTCTGGATGGAGTGTGGGGTAGTCTGTCCTGGCTTAATTGTGCTTTTCTTTAATGCTAAAGAAGTTAAACTTCCTCTCACACGGTGGCTTAACACCTGTATATTCTCTTTGGTGAGTGTCTCTGTGTTTTACTGACTTTCTAAATAATATAGTTGCTTATATTTTTACTGTTGGATTTTGAGAGTCCTTTAGTTCTCTTTTGGATGTGTGGCTTGCTAGTATTTTCTAGTCTGCAGCTTACCTTCTTACCCTCTTCCTGTGCTAGTTTGCAGAGCAAACGTTTTCGGTTTGGATGAAGCCAAATTTGTCAAATTCTTTATTTTACTTTTATTGTGGTGCTGGGGATTGAACTCTGGGCCTCGGGTGTGCTAAGTCGTGCCGCCAAGTCAACCCCAACCTTGAGTTTAATGCAGTGGATACTGCTGGTGTGAAGTCTAAGAACTCTTGGATCCCAAAGATGCTTGTGCTGTGTTTCCCTCCGGTTCGCTTGTTCACATCTTAAATCAGCATTGGTGGTCATTTGGAGTTACTTTACACATAGCACAAGAGGCCAATTATATTTCCTGGCAATGGAAGTCCAGTTGCCTGGGTGCCAGTTACGGAAGGGGTGAACCTGCTGCCCCCGGAACATTTTCTCAGTCGTCAGAACTGACCTAGCAGAACGGTGTGGCTCTGTTCTGGGCCCATGATATTCCGTGTCACCCATCTGTGTCTGTCCTGCCACTACAACCTTGATGTCTTTGGAACCCCGTGCAGGACTGCTCTTGTGGCTTTCCGGTGACGGGGCCCCGTATGTCCTCACTTTGCAGATCTCTACGTGTATGCCGTCCTTGTGTGCTGCGTGGGCATCCTGAGCGTCCTTCTCTTCACCCTGGTCATCGCCTGCCAGTCTGTGCTGCACAGGAAAAAGTCCAGAGGTAAGACGGCCACGGGGTCATGGTGCCTGGGGACAGGCCCTGGTGGGAAAGTCAGCCTGTGTCCGTAGCAGGATACGGACATACACCGCTAAAACAGCCTGACCAGGTTTCAGTCCTCTGCCTCCAGCCCCTCCCAACCTCCCCGCAGGGCTGAGCCTAGCGAGCTGTTTTCGGACAAGTTCTGGAACAGCCCTCCACTGGGCAGCACGTGCTCGACAGTGTCTGCTTGCAGGAGGGCGGGACTTGGAAAGTCCCCCTCCAGCCTCCTTTCTTGTGGGGCCCCTGATGCCCTGGACTCTGTCCTCTGCCCTGCAGATTTGCTTCTCAGGAATTCCGGGTGTGGGGACATCGCTGCCTAGATGCTGCCCATTCTACCTCAACCTCTCCTGAAGCCTGGGTTTCCATGCCCCGCAGCTTGAGGCTCTGCCCAGCACTGTGTTTTCCTATGTAGTCCCAGAGCTGCCTGCCTGGTGCCTGCCACCCACTCAGTGACACCTGATCTCCTCTCTTGTCTTCCCGAACTGTCTGTGCTCGTAGCCTGAGCCACACTTGCTGTGGGCATTGGCCTCTCCTGAGTGGACCCTGCAAGCAGGGACATGTGTGTGACCCATTGTCCCGGGAATCTGGAGCAGGACAGGTGCTCAGCAAATGGCACACAGGGGTTTGTTCCAGCCGCTCTGCTCCCGGGTGCTGCCCCTTGCAAGCCTCAGAGTTGTTTCCCAGCTGGCTGTGCAAGAGTGTGACATGTGCTCCTGGGCTCTGGGGTGAGAGGCAGGGCAGACTAGGTCACACAGGGGCCAGCTGCTCCTGGTGGCCTTGTGTGCACCTAAGCTCAGGTCTGGAGCTCCTCTCAGCTGTCACCGAGGTTGTCTACCCATCTGCTGTGGGCAGGGCACTGGCTTGGCCCCTCTGTGTCCTCCTGCATGACAGTCACATGGCCTCCGTGTGACAGACAGCAGGGCTGAGGACTTTGATGCAGCCCCAGGAGCAGGCCATGGCAGAAGTGAGGCTCTACCCTCAGCCCCGTTCAAGCCCCGGCATTGCTGTCCTGGGCAGAGGAGTTGGCCTGTGGCCTTCTGTCGTGGTGGTTACTGAGCGTCTTCCACTGCTCCATTCTCCCTGGCTCCTGCAGTACCCCGGTACCTGGCTTTGGTCTGGGGGATCCCCAACAGCAGGCTCAGGCTGGCACCACCACCCACACTCCAAGGGCAGGCCCGGTATGGTAGGCTTTGGTGGACAGCATCAGACACCCCACTTTCCAGAGCCATCACCCCCTGCTCACACCAGACACTGCTGCAGCGAAGCCACCAGCCAGCTCTTCTGACTCCTACCCAGCCTGCACCCTTCCCGTGCAAAGGTGACCCCATTACTGTTTAACCTGAAGTTACTGGCGTGATGCTACCCATCCCCCACCTGGTCTAATGCTCTACACTTAAAGGATTAATATGAGGCAAGTAGCTTGTAAGGCAGTAAACCATGTTCTACTCCAACACCTCTTCTTTAGACAAGTGTGTGTTTCAGAGCAGGAAACCCTTGGTCTTTGACTTTGAAATAACTGCTACACGAGATAACGTAACATGCACATGACAGGGACAACTGTGGATGGATGCTGCTGTGCCTTCAGATCCACGGGGGAGATACCTCATAAACCCCCCACAAGCTTTCAAATACAGGATACACCCTCACGAGGTTCCCACACTCTTGGAACACACATCACGTATCCAGTGAGACATACAACACCTTGTGCGCATGTCAAGTGGACTCGGGCCCCTGGCTTTCGTGTGTAGGTTTTCTCCTCTATGTGGGTGTCAAAGGGCCATTCATGTCAGGGGGATGAATCCTCACCCGTGGACCTTCTCTATTACCTGTGCCCAGCATCCTGCCCACCCATCATCAGGCATTGTCCCCAATCAATGTGACAGCCATGCGAGCTCCGGATTGCCCCGGGGTCCCTGGATTCCGCTGCCGAGGAGCGGTGGGTCCCAGCCGAGGTTGTGTCCACTGAGCTGGGGGACACAAGGCACTGGGAGCCGGGGGCCAGGCGCAGCAGAGGGGCTCCTGGTGCGGGTGGAACACTGTTCCTCTGTGGGTCTGCTTTTGTGCTGGTGCACTCTTTGGATGGGAATTGCTTCACGAAGTCCCCATTTCCTGACTGGGGCACTAAAGGCACCCAGAGCTGCCCCAGTACTGCTTAGGACCCCAAGCCCACCCTGTCCAGATCCTCCTGTCTCCCCCTGCAAGCCTTTGATAGGAGCTGTTCTCCCTGTCACACACACACACACACACACACACACACACACACACACACACACGAGGGAGGTCCCCAGGAGGACAGCCTGGCTCAGGCCTAGGGTTTCTGCAGGGGCTGGGAGGAACCCCGAGCCTCCTCGGGGTCTGCATTGTAGGCCACTTCCTGCCCTTTCCCCCCCAAAAATTGGAGTCTGATAAATATGGCTTTCTATAAAATTGGTCAAAGATCCTTTTCCTGGACACAGACAGAGCAGGGTTGCCTTTCTTGTTCGTGATGGCTCTGCCCAGAAGATGCACCACAGATCCTGAATGTCCCAAGTGGCTACTGCTGCAAAGAGGTCATTCAATGCAGTGACCAAAAACATCATCTGTGCACCTGGACTGGGCTATGTGGGATGGACTTGGGGCAGTGGACAGGAGATCCAGGATGGCACCGGCTTACTCTGGGGTCACCTCTGAGATGAGTGGGGGCTCAGGGCTGGTGATGTCTCAGTGTCCCCTGTGGCCCCACCAGCAGGAAGCCAGGGCCTTCACCTGGTGACCGGGCAGTGCGGATGGACATAGACTAGACATTGGGACAGGGTCAGAGTGTCCCTAGTGCTGTTGGTTACAGCAAGTCCTGCAAGCAGCCTGGATTCAGGAGGGGAGAATGGCAAGGAACTTGTGGTTACCTTTGGACTCCAACTGCAAGAAGTCTGCTGCTGTTGTCCCCACTGCAAACCAGAAGCAAGGGCAGCCCCACCTTGGAGAGGAGAAAAAGACCCTCCCAACGTCGCGGATGACTGAACCATCACTGTGACCCCTGTGGCCTGAGCACTGGCCCATTTCCCAGGCAACCAGCTGGTTCCCATGCAGCAGGCACCACATGTCCAAGAGGCTCCCGGAAGTACCAGAGTGACACAGGGATGTGCACCCCTTGAGGCCAGGATGCACCCCAGGAGGCTGCTGCCTCTGTGGGTAGGCCTGGCTCTTCGGGGGACCACAGGTCCATCCTCATGACTGAGGCTTTGTCCTGTTTGCACAATCAGTGCCTCCCACCGGCTGATTAAACTAGAAACCTGTGGGACGGCTGGGAACTGTACTCTGTGGGAGGAGGGACGGGTCTTTCCAGGGACTCCCTCCTGAGACCTTAGGTATTCACATTTCCCAGGCAGATGTGTGGGAAGGAAGCCAGCCCTTCCCTTTTTGGGGGTCACAGAGCATAAAATTTTTGCAGTCTCGCCTTTGGCCTGCAGCAATGTTTGTGCAGACAGAGGGTGTCCGAGTAGCTGCCCAGCTCCTGATATAAGCACAGAAAGGGCTCTGTAATCAACAGCCCAGCCTGGAAGTCAAGGACCCTGGCCAGCCTTCTGCTGTGTCCCCTGGCTGCATGACCTCCGCTTGGCCTTCTGAGCTGGAGCTAATTGTATCATTTGCTGTGACCACTTCCTCTCCCACGCATCAAGTCTCTGTCCCTTCTCTTTGTTGTCCCATCAGTGCCCCCAGCATGTCACCCCAGGCCTTTGTCGCTGAGTCACCCCAGAAAGCACCCATCTTGGTGGTCCAGGCTCAGCCCTGAGCAGTTCCGGGTTCCTGAAACACGCTGGTTTCAAGGTCTTTGCATGTTGGAGAATCGGTCAACCTGGCTTGCCATCCTGGGTGGCCCTACAGCTTGGGCTCCCTGCACTGAGTCTTGAAAGGCACAGTGTTTGCGACCTCTGGAGCCAGCAAGAAAGAAAGGTGCCTGACCTCACCATCTGTACACCTCAGGGCCATGCCAGCAAGGTCTGGTTAGGATCATTCTGTCCTAGAACCAGAGATAGGACATCCAGGGCCCCTTACCCCACCCTCCCCTGCCCCCACACACATGCCCTGCAGCCTCCCAGAGAGCCAGATTGCAAGGCAGTGGGCTTGCTGGACAGATACCCCAGGAGGCAAGTGCTGGGGTTCATCCCATTCAAGGCCTCCCTCCACACACTCTGGATGGAGGGGGGCTATGGTACAAAATGCAGTGACTCAGGACTTCAGGGAGGAGGAGGAGACCCCAGGCTGGAGGAGGCCTGAGTGTTGGGACACATGGACATCCCCAGGCAGGACCTCTTCTCCAAGAGCCTGGGCTGGAGGCCCCAGGGCTCTGTCTATCCAGAGTCCTGCTTCCAGAGAGGGAAAGTCCACCCATACTCTGGGGGATCTGAGCCTCTCCTGCTGCCTCCTAGACAGAGTCCTGCATGTACAGCCTGATTCAGGTTTCTTTATTAATGAAGCAGACCTTTTGAGACCCTGAATATGACCTTCTGAGGCCCCAAGTGCTGGCCATAAAAGAGGACACAAGCTGTCTGAGCTTTGTAGACACCAGTCCTGGGCAGCTCCCGGGGTGCCTTGTCTTTCGGGGACATCTGAACTGCTGGAGTTGGCACCTCCACACTGGGGAGAAGACCCAGTTCATCCTCTAAAACCAGCCGCATGACTTTGGGCGAGTCCATCAACCTCTTCGTGTACTTCTGGTCCCCACTGTGACTTAAGAGCTCTGAGGGCTGCAGTCCAAAACTGTGGGAGTCAAATGTTTTTACCTGAGCAGCTCCTAAAATCATTTACTTTTGACCTTTCTCTGTTTTTTCATCTTAAACATGAATCATTTCAAAAGATGCCATTTTCTGATCATTGCACATATTACTATCATAAAATGCAAGAGACAGATCTCTCTTTTTTGTATTAGAAGTTCTGGATTTTAACCCCTATTGATTTTAAAGACTCCATGAAAAAGCGTTAGCTGTTTAGTAAGTTTATACTGTTCTTTTTTCTCCTTGAACTTTTATCTTGGGTCCACTTTTCCTTTCGAGGCAGGCTCTCACCGTGTGGTCCAGCTGGTCTTGAACTTGCTTATGTAACCTCATAAGCAAGCACTTTACCAATCACCTTTGTTGTACTCATCTGTGAAACAATGCTCTATTCATAACTTTTTCATATGCTTATTCCATAAGTCTTTAATTGTTAAAATACCCTTAGAAGGCTGACTTATTAATATTGCAAAATTAGCAATATTGGAAAACTGGAATAAAATTAGCCTAAATAATGTGTCTCATAAATGCATTATCAATGTAGATAAATAATTAATAATAATAACGATAAGTAAAAATCTAATGGAGACACAATTTTATTGAAATGGATTTTTGTTTTTGCGTTACCTACCCTTGTCTGAATTTGCTTAGGAGTACAATACCCTGTCAACCCCACTCCTACTTTTAAATAGATGTTAGCTTTAAAATTTCTCCTTTAAAATAGAAAAGAGGCGGAGCAGGGAGATTTTCTTGTACAACTCGGTACCTCAGGCTAGATGTCAAAAGTTGCATAATCTAGCAACAAAATAATTTTTAATACCCCATCAGCTGACAACTGGGTTAGGTCACCGTTTAATGCTTTGGAAGCAAACACAGAGAATGGGTGTCTTTGGAAGTGAAGCTACCCAGCCCTGAGTTATTCTCTTTCCCAGGGCTGGTGCCAGCATGTCACAGCATGTCTCGCCTGCTGCCAGCATTCTGTCCTGTGTGGATTCCGCGATACGGGCCCTGGCGAGAGAAAAGATGTGCCTTGGTTTTAGAAAATAGAAAGAGTGCGGTGTTAGGTGGGGAGGAAAGAAACAGAGTCGGATTTCAGGCAGACAGCAGAAGACAGAATTCTTAGGGATGAGCACAAGATCCGGAAATGGGCTCCCTTAGAACTGTCCCTTCAGAGAGGACCTGGGGTGTGCGCACCCTAGACCGAAGCCCATTGACTGACTTGATAAGCTTAGTGCTGGCCAAAAACACCTGACTTGTTCGCTGAACACTGTGGTTGCTATCATGCTGTATCCACACAGTTGGTATGCAGCCAATGGGATGCAGGGACAGTGGAGGAGTTAGCAGGAGGTGGACCAGATAGACCCATGCAGCCCTCTCTGGAGCTAAATTGCGCTCTGGCACCTGCTTTAGTGGCCTGCACAATGGATCACCCCAAGGCTAGGACAACTCTTTCACTTCGTCCCAATGCCCCAGGTCTGCAGTTCAGGTGACCCCCAGCAGTATCACCTGGTGACCCCCAGCAGTATCACCGGCAGCTGCCGCTGGCCGGGAGGTCTGCTGCGTCCTGCTGCTTAGGCTGTGACAGAGATGCCTGATGGCTACTGTTTGGACCCCTGTGTCCCAGTGGGCTGGCCAGGCCTCCTTGTGTGGCAGAAGAGTTCTCCAGAATCCAGGACCCTTCACGCCTAGGCTTGTGACATACAGCTAATGTTCCCTCTTCCCCAAGCAAACTGAGTGACCAACCCCAGAGCCAGTGTGGGAATAGACAGACAGAAGGAGGGGTGACTCACCCGGTGCTGCAACCCCACTGTCCTCCTATTGGAAGTGAGCTCAGGTGCAAGCCTTATATTGTACACTCACGGGACTCAGTGCCCGGGTATTTGTGTTTTTCCTCTGCAGCCAGAATGACATGATTTCCCCCAGGAGGTCTGCTGTGGAAGCACGTCTTGCTCCAAGGCTGTTTTTCCAAGGGCCACTTTCACTGAGTCTTGGAAGAACATCACTCTGAGAAAGCAAACCCATTTTATAGGGAAGCGCTCCTACCTGGAGACCAGTTGTCCTGTCTGGCTTTAAGGGGCTCCCTCATGCCTGAGGCACAGCCCAGGAACTGGGTGACTTTATTACTATTGGGCCCTGCAGGTTAGAAGCAACACAAGCTGCCTTGCCCTAAAATAAATACCGTGAGTCAAGTAACAGATATCTAGGGTGTGCGCAGTGAGGTCCAGAACTGTGACAATATCAAGGCACTGTGGTGGCCCAGAGGTGGCTGTGCTGGGCTCCCCTGCCTGAGACTTGGCTGGTACTGTACCAACATGTAGGAAAGGCGGGGCCCTGCATTCATGCAATTCCTGGAGTGCATATATTTGAAGTAACATGGACTTACTATCTCTTCTTTCTTGTTTCTTTCACAGTGAGACATTATTTGGTGAAATGCCCTCAGAACAGGTAGGAATATTTGCTTCCTTTTATCAAATCATATCAAACTCTTTCTGTTATTACAAAAAAACTGTTTCAATGTGGATTTTCACATGAAGGTCTGCATATTTGTGCATATACAAGCCAAAAGTATGTGATCTGCCTGTGTTTGAGTGTTTGAAGATTCCGCCCTCTGACCGTCACCCCCTGGGGGTCAGATGCCCAGTGGCTCTTGCTGCCCAGGCTATGTGCTACCTGCCAGAGGCTTGGCATGTGCTCTTCACAGCTGCCCAAACTACATGGGGCCTTCTGGCTCCAAACACTCCCAGGTAATCCCCTTTCCATGAATGCCCTCTTTTCCCACTTTTAACTGATGAGACACAATTCATGGGTGACACAGTAGTTATAGGAGATTTTGCAAATTCAGGTCTTTTAAAGATTTGGAACTGCTAATTCAGATGAGATAGCATAGGTCAATTGATCTCTGCTCTTTTCTGTCAAACACACATATAAACCTTGGAGATAACTCAACAGATAACCGAAGAAGACCTCTAGGAGTTGGAGAGAAGCTGAAGTTGTTTGGGATCCCAGGACTGGAGGAGTCACATGGTTACAGAGCTTTTCAACTTTTATCCATTCCATGCAAGGTGACCCTAACCCACTTTTTCCATCCCCAACTCTGAAACAGCAAGATCCAAGCAAGCTCATTCTTTCCACAGTCTGAATGGAGTTCCTCTGATGTCTTCTAGGGAGCCCTCTACCACCAGCAGGGGCGTAGGGTGGGAACCACTCCCACTATCGGCACCAGGTGACATCAGAGCTGAAGGCACAATCTAGTGAGCCACCCAGACCCAAGTGGTCCAGCTGGGAAACCTCTTTGTCTTCACTGGCCTGAGTCTTCCACACCCACCACAATGTGTCCAGCCTCCCAACCCAGGAAACCCTTTCCAATGCCTAAGCCAAGCCAGTGGGGTCTAGCTGCAGCAGATAAACCAAACAGAACACAGTAAGACAGGAAAGCCTCTGGAAGAGAAAGTTCATTGGAACTGCAGCTCACAGAAAGAGGCCAGAATTGGTCGGTATACTAAACAGGATGACACTTACAAAAGTAACCGATTTAAGGACTCCAGCCCTCTGAACTGAACTAGCAAAAAACAACCATCACAGTGAAAACTGCAAATATCACAACCTGAATGAGGAAAAACAATCAATCAGAACAACCCTGGCACAGATCAGGAGTTGAGATGACCCATCAAAGGACTTTAGAGCTGGGATCACAAATATGTTCTGACAAACAATTAAAAATCTCCTAAAACAAGTGGCAAAGTAAACACTCTCAATAATAGAGAGAACTTGCTTTTTTAAAAATGGAATTACAGAAAAATAAAATAAATAAAAATCTTAGTGGGTGAGTGATGTCAATGTGTAATGAGTGAGCTGGAGGACACGTCCGTAGCACTTATCTATCCTGAACCACAGAGGGAAAACAGGCCAAAATCACATGAGCAATGAACAGTCCTCAGGGCCACAGGGCAAGAAGTCTGACATTCTATGATAAGAGTTCAAGAAAGAGGAAAAAGTGGACTTGAAAGAATATGGGAAAAATAGTGGCTCAAGTTTTCTCCAATTTATCAAAAGAAAAAACCTCATACATGTAAAAGAATTGGATAAACCCAGTGGAATCCACATGAAGACACATTATATAATTAAGCAGAAGGTAGGCTTGAATGTCTGTGTTTCCCCTCTGAATCCACAGAGGACAGAAAAGTAGCAGTACTTCTCTCAAATACTGAAAGGACTAACTGTCAATCACAAATTCTATTCCCAGCAAAACTATCCTTCAGCAATGAAGGGGAAATAGAGACATTCTCAAATACAGGAAAACTCAAAGACTCTTTCACTAACAGACCTACCTGCTTTAAAATAATGGCTAAATGAAATTTTTCAGACATAAAAAAAACAGGAAGAGCAGAAAGGAAATAGTAAAGCTCTACTTTTCATGAATAGATGTGAATGTTAAATGCCACATCTGGTAACTGAAACAAAAAATGTAAAACCATCTGCTACTCAAGGCTGTGATATTTAAAAGTGAAAGAGATAAAGGGACTCCAACAGAAGAAAGATTTCTACATTTTACTCAGTGGAGAAATATTGGTTCCAGTAGACTGGTCAGTCAAACATGAACATTGTAATGCCCAAAGTTACTACTTTCCTTGGGAGAGAATGTCATTAGTTTCTTAAGGCACTAAACTTACTCTAGGGCTCAGCAATTTCCTCAGCGAGGATCAACCCCAGGGAGCCGAACTAAGAGGGCCACACAGTGACCTCTGTGCTGCTGTTCTTAGCCACGTCTTTCCTAACAGGCAGATGCTGGAGCGATCTAAACCCTGGTGCACAGTGTCCTGCGACTTACTGCGCACTTGGTAATGAAGCAGAGTCCAGTCTCAAAGTGCAGCTGACTGGGAGAAGCCAGTCCCCGAAATTCTGTATTATATGATTCCATTTAATGAAATGCCTAGAGCAAGTAAATTGATAGAGACAGAAAGTGAATTAGTGTTTCTTGGGTGTAGAAATGGGGATTCGCTATACATGCGCAAGGGAGAACCTTTTGGGGGTAACCAGAATGTTCTAAAACTAAGGTAGTGGTAGTCATACAACTATATATTGTTAAATCTACTCAAAATGATTGAATTGGATACTGTGACCAGAGCACAATTTTGGGGTACCTCAGTTATGCCTTTGTAAAGCTGTTTCTTCCTTGCTCAAAGCACGTGTCTCCTTAAACCACAAGGACGAGGGGTGCAGGCTTTTATTCCTCAGGGGAGCTATAGCTGGGGAGGTCAGAGCCAGCCAGTATCACCTGGAGCTTGCTTCCTGTGACACTCAGGTTTGGACTGCCCTGAGCACACAGCCCTTGCTGGGTTGGGCCCCTTCCTTCTCTCCTGAGCCTCGCCCCATGGGGTAAAGATAAGATCTGTGGCACCCACTGCTGGGACCCAAAGAGTGTGATTGGATTCTCTTTGCTGTTACAAAATACCTGAGGAGATCAACTTAAAGGAAGAGCAATTCTCATTGGCTCATGAGTTTAGGGGTTCCGGTTTTGGTTGGTCAGCTCCAATGTTTTTAGGCCTCCAACGAGGCAAAGTGTCATGTTGATAGCAAGTCACTGAGGAAAACTGTTCCCCTTAGGGTAGCTGGGAAGCAGAGGCAGAGGAAAGGGCCATGGCTTGGTTACTATTCTCTCATTTCTGAGACAAAATACCTGATGCCCAATGTTAAAGAGTAGGAAGGTTTGTTTAGCTCACAGTCTGTAGGTTTTAGTTCATAACTGACTGGCTCCAAGGCAGGGTGGCTTGGCAGTGGGGCATCACAGGGGAAAATCAGTTCATGGTGGGCAAAGACAGCCAAGCAATAAGGTTCCTTAGCAGTGTCTTCCTACCCTTGTTATCCTATTCAGGCTACTTAGGGCAGCCAGCACTCACCTCCTTAACCTTAGAGCCCTAGAGCCTAGCATTGCACCATAAATCAAACCCAGCATCACATACTCTAGACCCAGCCACCTCTGCAAAGCCCCGCCTATGACCGAATGTGGCTTTGGGGGACATCTAGACATGAGCCATAACAGTGGTCCCAGTGGCCCTTTCAAGGACACGCCCCCATACCTCACTTTCTCAGGAGGCTCTGCCTCTTCAAGGCTCCCAAGAGCACTACAGGCTGGCCAGTAAGCTTTTAGTGCATGGGCTCTCGGGGACAGTTAAGACCCAAACCGTGACACGAAGGCCAGGGATGGTCCCAGGCTCCTCTCAAATGGGCCACAGGGGCTCTGACAATGAGGAAAGTGGAAGTGGTTTGTGGCTTTCCCCTTAGTCATGAGCTGCTGCAATGAATATCCTGAGCTCTGTCCAGGGCCACTTTTCCCTTAGGGGCCTGGGCAGGAAGCCCACGACCAGGGCAAGATGCCAGGTGCAGAAACCTCATGCAGGGCAGGGAACCTCGAGAAGACGCCACAGACCGGAACCAAGGAGGCTGTGGTCACAGCAAAAGAGGCCTGGCCAAGTGACTTGGGCAAGATGTGGACCTGCAGAACTCTGTGATCTGCTAAGAGAACTTCAAAGGGGACGAAAATCAGTCTGCTCTCAACTGTGCATTGTCCCCGAGGTCAGAAGGCACTATTCCAGGAGGAGTGGCCCTGACCCCAGGGTCAAGAGATGGTTCCTTTTCCATGAGCACATGTCCCAAGGACTCAGATGTCCAGAGCAGAGGGGACGGCAGGATTTTAAACATGCCTTTCCCAAGAGAGCAGCCCTCAACCAGCATAGCCAGTCAGCGTGAAACTGCTTGAAGGTCCTGGAAAATCAGGCTGCAGATGAAAGCCCAGCAGCTGTGGAAGGCTGAGCGCCCTCCTCCTCCAGGCCACCTAAAAGACAACTGTTGATCGGACAGATGGCAGTGCAGTCCCTGCCAGTACCTCACCCAGCATTCCTTGCATGTTCACGGTCTCTTCACGGATACACGGGGCACGGGCGGTGCACATGCAGGATAAAGCACAGGCACAGCTCGGCTGTGCCCTGCGAGCTCGTGGAAAACACTATGAGTCTTCTCCAGTCCACACAGGGACATCCTTGACAAAGGAAACGTGGGTTTTCACCAATGAGCGACAGGTTCAGGACCTCTGTGTGCAGGGACACAGGAGTCCACAGAGA